GACTACAGGCGCCCGCCACCTCGCCTGGCTAATTTTTTGTATTTTTAGTAGAGACAGGGTGTCACCATGTTAGCCAGGATGGTCTCGATCTCCTGACCTCCTGATCCGCCCGTCTCGGCCTCCCGAAGTGCTGGAATTACAGGCGTGAGCCACGGCGCCCAGCAGGAAGACGAGGCGTTTCTTTTTTACACTTACCAACTGTAAAATAACATGACTTTAAATAAATAGATTGAAATGGCTGGCTGGGGAAAAATTTTCTTTTAAAGGGCACTTCTTTGATAAACTTGAATCAAATCTAGTTCACATTTAAGAACTGAGTCAGCCAGCAAAGAAGCATTAACATCATAACTTCAAAGCATTTATTAAAAGTCTGAAATCAGAACAAGTTCACAGTTTTGTAGGTAAGCTAAAAACATTGGCCTGCAGTCTGAATGTGGCCTTCATAAGCTGTGCGGTAATGCCAAAAAAAAAAAAAGTGGGTCAACCGGTAAGAATTACTCAAGAAAATAAAAGGAGAAATGCTACTATCTCTTTTAAGACAATAAAGGAAATTTCTAGACACATTCCTTGACTCTAATACATGCTATGCAAAAATCTCTGGTTTTTTTTTTTTTCATTTACACTGTGAAACTTGTAATAATAATATACCGACACAGGTTTATATGGATGTCATACATATAAAGTATAAGATATAGAATGGAATTACACACCCCAATGTCACTTCAAACTCATGGTTTGGATTTGTTCCCCAACTCTTCTAGCCAGCAAATTTATTTTATGTCAACTTCTAGGAGTCTACTGAAAAGACTTTTGAAGAGCTTGAAGATAAAACAGCCAAACTCAAACTCAGATAGGAGAAGTTCCAACAAATAGACTTTGCTGTTGCCAAAATAAATAAAACTTGGAAGTTTCTTTGTCAAATGCATTCTAAAAATATGTCAAAATCATTGATAGCTTCTTTTTTCTAAATCCCACTGAAATACTTCAAGGTACCAAAAATAGAACCTAAATAACAACAGAAAGAAAAAATAGTTGAGCGTTGTGGTCTGCCGTGGTCTGAATGTTTGCGCCCCTCTAAATTCATGAGTGAAATCCTAACCTCCATGATGATGGTATTAAGATGTGGGGCCTTTGAGAGGTGGTCAGGTTAGGAGGGCACAGGGCTGGCAAATGAGATCAGTGCCCTTGTAAAAGACCTGAAAGAGCTCCAAAGCGCCTTCCACCATATGAGATTACAGTGAGAAGATGCGGGCTGTGAAGAAGCAGGCCCTCATCAGATTCTGAATCTGCCTTGATCGTGGACTTCCTAGTCTCCAAAGCTGTGAGAAATACATGTCTGTGATATGGTTTGGATATGTGTCTTCATATCTCAAATGTGATCTCCAATGTGGGAGGTGGGGTCTGGTAGGAGATGTTTGGGCCATGGGGGCGGATTCCTCATGAAAGACAGCACAGTCCCCTTGGTGATAAGTAAGTTCATGTGAGATTGGATTGTTTTCTGGGACGTCTCCCTTCTCTCTCTTGCCCTCACTCTCACCACGTGACACACTGGCTCCCCTTTGCCTTCCGCCATGATTGTAAGCTTCCAGAGGCTCACCAGAAGCAGATGCTAGTGCCATGCTTTATGTACAGCCTAAAGAACAATGAGCCAATAAATCCCTTTCCTCTATAAATTGCCCAGCCTCATGTATTTCTTCATAGCCACACAAGAATGGACCAATACCGTGTGTTGGTTATAAGCAACCCAGTTTGTGGCGTTTTTGTGATAGCAGCCTTAAGAGACTAAGACACACTCCCAGGAAGGAAAATAAGGTCAGCAATGGAGGATCCTATGACATGTTCCTTTACATGACTACACTGAGCTGTCTGCCCCAAAATCTAAGGTTATCTCACCGAAATACATGTGGATACCATTCCAAAAAATAATTTGATTCATTTTTTTGTTTACTCTTTTTATACGTACAAAACCATCGCACACACAAATGCA